AAACATAAAGCAAATTTAATTTTACTCAGTTGATGCTTGGATCATTAGATTCTGGTTAATATTTCTCAATTCACTACCAAAACCAAAATATGAAATGAAAGTCGTGGTTGAAATAGTGAAATTTCTCTGTTACTATCCAGTTAGAAATTTCTGTGCATATATACATATGTATACATATACATGTATACAATATATATTTTTATTAATAAATTAATATATGTGTTTAGACGTATTTTATGTTGATTTTTTAATTTTATTTTTTATTGATTGTTTGTTATTTTCGTACAATATATTTTGATGGTATTAGATTCATTCCCCTCTCTGCACCTCCCTCCACTTCCCCCTGCCCAACACGATTTAGTCTGTTATATATATAAGATGAGCTATAGAGTCTGATTTGTGGGCCCAAATATCTTTCAGGGTGGATATATCCTCTTGGCCCACCAAAAGTCCCATCCAATAAGACACTGTCTTCCTCCTGCCCGCAGCCATCAATTGCCAAAAGTTCTTAGTTTGGGCTGGGATTTCTTACCCATGTCACCATGTCTATGCTTGATTGTATTGTTTGAGCTTCTATAGGACTTGTGCATGCCATCACCATTGCTGTGAGCTCATACTAGTAAATGACCAGCTAACTGGAAGACTCTATTTCCTTATGGTCATCCACCCCTCTGGCTATTGTAATCTTCCTGCCTTCTCTCTCACAATGATTCCTGAGCTTTGGAAGGCAGAGGATTGAAATAGGTGTCCTATTCAAGGATAAACATTCTGTGGCCTCTTGTTCTCTGCACACTGGTCAGTTTTGTTTTTCTGTGTTAATTACCATCTGCTGCATAAAGAAACTTCTCTGGTGAGAGTTGAGAGACACATTTATCCTAAGTGTAGAAATTATATTGAAGATGTATCAGAGTTAAACATCTCACCAACACTTACTGTCTGTTTTTGACCAGTTCTGGAACTCTGTAATAGTCTACATCTCTTGCAAAATGACGCTTCTTTTTGATGAGGGGTGATTGGTACGTTTGTCTGTAAATAGGAGAATGCATACTTAGAATAAAGTAAGAAATTATGTGGATCTAGGAATGCGACAAGACATATTTTGATCTGTTGTTTTGCTTTGTTGATTTGCTTTAGACCATTTATCTGCCTTCTAGATTGGTCTTAAGCTCCTAGGCCAAATGGGTTGGATTATAGATACTCCCAGACACTTAGCTCAGATGTTCAATATTAAAACCTATCGATTCTTTTCCATAATTTAACAATATTATTGTTTTATCATATTCCCTTTTCTTTCATAATTATATCTATGAAAACTATTTCACTAAATTTTAAGTGTTGTATTCCAAACAGAAATACAGTCAAACTTATGACCACCGGTAAAATGTGTGGCATGCTTTATTGTGGCTACTGTGATTTAGGTGATTTTGAGCTGACCGATTTCTAATTTTTTAGAAAGAACTCATGTCACCATCTTCTTATTCATCTAACTGTGTCCATTCCTTGAAGATCAAGAGTTTGGATTTTAAAAGGTGGTCAAGTATGAAAAGGAGCTCTAGAATAGTCAGTCACATTTCAAATACCATGGAAATTTGTACATATGGTATGTGTGAAATGTATTTTTATTTGTGAAGTTATGAAAAGTAATATTACTGAAAATACAAGATTTCCATGTGTGTGGCTAAAAATCTGAAAGACTAAGAAAGTTTAAACATCTTTGTCACTGAACAAAGAGGATTAATTGGAAACTGAAACAAGAGCACACTCCCAATGACCTGTTGAGGTTTATTTCAGAGCAGAAAACACTAGTGGCTTATTCCTTTGAAACCCCATGGTTAAAACAGTTTAAAGAAGAGTTTCAAATCCTCTTTAGATTACTGGAGTTATCAACTGATGAAAGGTTAGGGGACCAGGACACATGTTATAGACTGAACATAACAATAATGCTGAAATTTGAAAGCTTTTCCAAGAACTGCAGTTACAAACAGAAAGTTTAAGTTGTAATGGAAATGAATACTTCTGAATATAAGAAGCATTTTCTGCTGATCATACAGTCATATATCCTTGTATAGCCTTTTCCCCTGAAATAATGAATCCTTACTAACTTTAAGTAACTTAGTTTTTGTTTTCTTGCAAGCTCTAAAGAATGAAAATATTAAGCACAAAATATAAGAATACTTTTAGGTTGTATTTCAATGTATGATTATCTTTTAAAATCATATGAAGTTAAATCAGAGGAAACAACATATAGAAGATCCTTATAAAATAATGAAAAGGTAATTTTACTGATATTGGGATGCTTTGGAGAGCTTACTGAAATATTTCTTCTTTAAAGTAACTTTTCTTAGAACTAAAATAGTGTTCATATTTTTCAAACTATTGATAAGTCAAATTACTCTCATCTAAATATATCTTCACCATAAGGAATTGTATTTATATGTATATTCATGCACATAAGCATGCATATTCATACATACATGGGTAAATAAACATGCAGAAATAGATGATAGGTAGATAGATAGATGATAGATAGATAGATGATAGATAGATAGATAGATAGATAGATAGATAGATAGATAGATAGATATGATTGCTACTCAGTTTTGTTCTATGGATATCTTTGCTTTCAAAGCTTTTTAGAAATGTGCATCTCTTTTCATAAACATGAACTGTGGAAAATTTATTCATGAACTGCATTTTATTTTTTACTTACACAAAAAACAATAACTGTATACATAAGTATAATAAATATATACTCAATATTTTGTCTCTATATATTCTTATTCTCTTTATATTCTATATCTGTATACACACATACATTATACCCAGAAAACATATACCAGTACAATATAATTAGTAACATATTTAAGAATTACTTTCTTCCTTTAGTCAAGAATACATAAACTAACCTTATATTGGGGAAAATGTGTAATTTATAAAGTGAATTTAATGATCACAGATGAAATATCTAAGCATATGGTAAAGTAAGTAGAAATGTAAGCACACACACATATCCACTCTGAGTTCTCTAAAACATAAATATAAATATATATTATAAAAATACATCATAAACACTATAAATATTACAGAACATATGTAGACACACTGCTAACATATTAGTACAATTATATAATGTGCTAATATACTATATGTACTTATATGTAGTATTATCATATGCATATATAACATATATATATATATGTTATTGCATTCATGGTTGCTTGTAAACACAGTGCCAGTATCAACAGGATACAGGTCTGTAATCATAGCACTTGGTAGGTTGAAGTAGAAGGATCTTGAGTTTGAGGAATGTTTGGGCTGCAGAGCAAGGCCATCCT